CTTGAACTGAGTGAAACTGATCCCTGCCTTCCTGTGGCCAAAAATTGAACTTAAGATACTCATCAAAATGTTACGTGACATTGACGTTTCCATTCAGGAGAGAGGGAGACTTTTCCGTTGGAGTGTTGACTCACAGTAGTCATAAGACATGAGAGTGTGTCCTTGTATTATTAAAGGTATGCACGGATTTATAGAGAGACTCTGAAGCTAAAAACTAGCAGGTGAAAGACAAAATGGTCACAGAATCTATGAAGAATGAGATTTAAAAATGGTCTCTCTTTTGTATTTATGTAGATTTCTAGATGACAAACAGGTGTTTGCTTTGAACCAGTCTAAGGAGGCAACCGAGAAAACGTTCTTATAATGAAAACATGGTAATTACTGTAATGTAAGGGGATTGATTGGCGCTGCACATTCGTGTTGAAATGGTTGTATACAAAACACTGCATTGCCGGTGACCTTATAATGCAACGGAGCATACTTGTACAATCATTTGTGTGGTGGTTTAGGTGGTTTTTGTGTGGTTTTAAGTCATAGTTAATAATAGTTCTTCGTAAAGAGGAGATTCCCATGAATGATTTCAAACACTTTACACCTTATCAGGCAGTGTGTGGGTCATTGTTACCCATATCAGAATCAGTGTTTTAATATTAACGATGTGCTATCCTAATCATTTTGCTGAGCATACATCATCTTTCAAGCTCTGCATCTGCAAAGTCAGTCCGACCTGTTCGTGTATCGTCTCCTGCTCTTCTACCCCACAGCAGATTTAAACTCCTACTTTTGTCATTTATATTGCTCCATTGCATTACAGTCATTTAGCAGACGCTAAGTGTCTTGCTCAAGGACACATTGACATCGACTAGCTCTGATTGAAGGACGGCCCTGCTCTCCACTTAGCCACAGTCGCCCTATTGCTGTAATAATTATTCACTTCTTAATTCATGAACCCTGGAAGGTGCTTTCATTTAGTTTACTCTGAGGCATGTGGCAGTACATCCTTTGTTATAGGCATGTTTCAGCTAAATTAGTCTTGGGTCTTGGGTCTCTTTACTTACTCTTCATAACCGGCTGATCTCTATAAAAGCACATTGTTGTTTAAAACAATACAGATGAGGAATTGCAACAGATGGAGTCTGAGAGAATAAGAACAACAATCACAATCACAATTTTAAAATGGCAATTTGAATGTGAAACGACCAACTGCAGCATCATTATGGGAGCTTAGGCTAGCATGTAGTGCTTATAGATTTGTCCTTTTGTATGGAATGACAAAGCTGCGTGTAGCCCGTTTTCAGCCACTAGATGTCTCTGCTACACTGTGTTAATTCCAAGGGCCTCAAGAAAAAGGATGAATTTGTCCACACTTGCTGAAGTGAGAGAAATGTCATTCTTTTTATCGTCACTCAATGTCCTGCAGAGTGCTGTTGAATTTACACTCAATGTTCGACGCAAAGCTGCAAATTCAATCTCTCTTTGGCACCGGGAGCACACCACAAACAAGCAATATGAAACTGAACTCAACATTTTTCTCTACAAGATCCCACATGTGAGTTTGTCATCTATTGGCCTGTCTTGAGTACTCTCAGCATTTCCTCCATGTGTTACAGTAAAGCTTACCTCTGTTCAAATCTACAACAATATTGTGTGGAACATGACTTCATCCACATCGGTGAATACTTCCAGTGTTCAGTTGGAGAGCTGTTAAAATAGCCAGGTGCTGCAAGAGCGAGCAACATATGAGAGCGTTCGAGAGCATTTCAACTGCACCGGTGAAGTGACTGAATATGATGCTCAATCATCTCCATGGTTGTGATTGGCTAAGGCAGATGTTTGGTGCACACATAGCATAGCATTGTGCCATATAGTGAACCTATTGCTAACTACAGCAAATATATGAGTAAATGTTTAGTATAATGTATTCTGCATATCCAGAACCAAAAACTGCATTGCATTTGATTCCAAGACAGAAATGGAAAATGCTCTGTTTCATCTCTTTCCCCTGCCACTCCAGCGCTTTCTTCAGTAAAATTTGATCTAATTTCCTTTTCCCATCCTTGGGTATTTCCCCACAGAAATGAAGGGATGGTGATTGCTGGGTAAGATTGGAGTGGATCTAATCTTCCACTGCTCTCAGTCATACTCCATTTCACTGCACATCTAATTTGTCACACTGCTGATGAATATGCCACAAGTTTCGTGGGAAAGAGAAGGACATAATGAATATAAAACACACTGGGAGAGGGGAGAGGCAATTGCCGTACCGCACTAACCACAGTGCATTGTTCATTTGTCCCGTTAAATTGCTGACACCATGCATCTACTATGGACACATTGCTTTCCTCCCTCGGAGAATTTGATCAAGAGGTTAAAACAATGACAAACTCAGCTGGCGTTGTTGCTTTCCTGCAGCTTGCAGGCAGAAGCTTCATGGTCATTTGTGACCATTGACTTTAGGGTCACAGGTTTGTCCAAGGGGAGCGTACATCACCCCTCAATGCCGTGCACGCCACTGTGGAAATGCTTGTAAGAAATGCATGCATTTACTGCTCATATTTTAGCAACATGATGAGCATTGCAGGCAGATGTACTTCACAGAAATGCGCATGCAGAAGGTTTATACAACATTGTTGTGAAGCAGAAGGCACCATGACGTTGTATCTGATGGCTCAAATGGAGCAATGTTTTATTACCAGCTTTAAAAAGCATTACCATCAAATTAAAAACACAAGCAGATGGTATGAATTGCATCTGCATAATTATATTCTAATTTCGTCATTATTCATTATTGCTCTGTTTGTGATTGTCAGGGCGGCGATGCACTCGGCAGCAGTCCAAGCAACAGGCAACAAAGTGAATAGACGGGGTCAGAAATCTGTTCAAATGTTTCCTGGCAACAAGATGTTTCTGTGTCGAAGCTTTTTAGAAAGTTGCCTTCTACAGAACTGCAGCTCTGTAACATGAGCAGAAAGACTCGGTGAGAGGCAGGTGTTGAAGCTGACCATATGGAAAAATTCTAAAAGCGTTTTGTTCCGTCCATCGCGCGTGTGCTAAAGTCATTGATGAGCTGAGAGTGAATGTCTCTTTAAAGACGGAGAGGATAGAATCTGTGTGCAGAGCTGCTGCATCCACCTATCCATGAGACCGGAGAGCGGCTGATGAGAAAGCCCTTCAGGACTCTTCTCTAAATAGGCATGAAATTATATCTCCCTCTGACTGAGATTAGCGGCCACGGAGCCTCTTGCGTTCTGCCCCCTCTCTTCCTCAGGCTATCCAACCAAACGGAGCGCTTTGCAGTTTCAGCTCGTTTGTGTTTAAGTTTAGGAAAGTTCATTTTCATCAGGAGGTGCTCTCTATGTCCTTCATCTTACTTTGTGGGTCCTGCAGGATTCGTCACATGTACTGAAGAGATGTGGTTAACCACAGCAATGTTATGTGTTGATGATTGGTGTTAAACATCATTCACTGGAGATGATTTGATTCGCTGTTAGTTTCAGGGTACACACTGCGTTGTACAGAACTTATTAATAAATAGCTCATCTTTAGTTGCTCATTCTTCTACCAAAGGAAGCTCAAAGACACTGACTAAATGCTGAATTGTTTTCTGTCTACTATTTTATGTAATTATTCTAGTAATGCATGTAGCTATAAAATGCAGCTTTCTGTTAATATTCTAGAGCAATACCAAGGCCTCCCCTGAGTGGAATGCAGCTATCATTAGTGTTACTGAAGACACCTGTGCTTTTCCTACTATGACATGTCAAAATGTCTTTTGTGAAAAAGGTCTATTCCAAATGAAAGCTAATGTGTCTCCTGATATGTTGGACGTATAATAGGCGCCCATATGCTAGCAAGTTAAAAGATGATGATGTATCAGTTTTGCATCCAAGTGGTCAAAAATAAATCAGTATTTGCAAGTTTAAAGTGTCAGTCCACTAACTTTATTGCTCGCCTGAAAGCCATGCTTTCACTTGCTGCTACTGACGCTGCTACTATTGTTCATACAGCATTTCTTAAGCCAAGTCTACATCGTCCGAGGGGGAAGTAATTATTGTCACTCCCAAATCGCTGCTGTACGAAGCTTGCTGCATCTTGGTGGGGAGTTACGAGGTTAGAGCCTCGACCCCAAATGTCACTGCTGTGATTTCTACATTTAGAGTAAATAATTCATTCCACGTGACCTGGCTGACATTTACCGGTCATCTGATCACCTTGGATCAGAAGTTGATGATCAGGGTTGTGATTGTTTCAATGGAAAATTTGGGACACAATTTGGGAGTTTACTTGGATTGGCCATTAGATTACTTTGTTTAAAATGATTTAATCTTTCTTTCTTGCTTTTATTTTTCGAATAATTTCCAGAGTTAAAACGGACATCAATGCAGCTTTTTGAAAGCTGGTGCAAAGTGTTTGGGGTAATGTCAACTTGAGGACTGAGCCGGTGTCCATTTCTTATGTTGCTGAGCAAATTAGAAATGCTAATAGCACTGGATGTTATCATGGCGTCATGGTGTCATGGGTGACACGTTTATTGTAGATTTTGTGGTCTGGTGGAAGAGGAAGTGATGAAGGGAATAAGCAATCCAGAAAATCCAGCAGAAGTGTGTTCGAAAAACAAACTCCATGTCTTAGTCACACAACATTTGACACTTAAATTACAAATAATTGGGAGGTTGTGGCAGTTTGGTACTTCTGTCTTTTGTGTTTGTTGGTTTATCAGGAGACCTGTGAACATGTTCCCAAATAGCTTTTGTTATATGCTGTGAACCATTCAGTCAGGACATTATATGTATCTCCCAAACCTATAGGGGAGGTGAATCTTTACTCAGTTTTCATGATGTTCTATCCATTAAACAACACATTTGGGGGTTTGCTGATAAATAAACCAAGAGGCTCTTTTCTGTCTTAGGGCGGCTGATGGAGAACGTAGAGGCCGAAAGGAATTTAAGATGTAAATCTGCGAGAGATGATGGATCCGAATGAGTGAAACAAGAGCAATGCAACATATTTCATACCATATGCCAGATATGATAAATATTTTATTTCTGATCAGCAAAAGACACACAGTTGATGCATTTGTATCTTTCATGACTTTTCAGTACAGAGGAAAAACCCAAACATATACACAGTATGGGTATATATGTATATGGGTATATCTTAAAGTGCAAGTGATTCACAAGGGTCAATCATGCGTTACATAGCATCTGTATGAGGAAGTTCAGTAACCTCCTTAAATCCTCGATAACTTTCTGAATCTGATAGTAAAATAACTGTCACTTATATATGAATACAAAATAAACTTTACTAGTCACTGAAGCTTTTTGATTTAGTTTAAGCACAACATTTATCTATTTCAAGTCTTGAGAGGAAAGAGTACCATGAAGTGCCAGAAGTGAGAAGTCTTTAGTCTCTAGTGTTGACAGGAGAAACAGTTTCACAAAACTCTCCATGGGTCAATTTAATAATGCTCCAGTACCACCTTAAACACCCTATACTTTTATTACAATCTAAAACAGAAAGTAACTTTACCTTATATACTTTTCTCACTTTTAGTTTTTTTCCCTAACAGCCTTCATGGGTCACCTAACTTGGGCATGTTCTCGTCGAAACAGACATTCAGTATACAGGTACATTCTCTGAAATTACCATTACATTTGACTTGGTGAGGAAACAGTCCATTTGCCTTTGGCAAATATATTTGACACGAGGAATGTTCGTAGAAAATAAATATGAAAACATGGATAGACAGTCAAATATTTGAATGTAAATGTGGACTGATGCTGAGCTCACTGTGTGTTGACAGACCAGAGCGGCCACAGCAGAGGGGCATCTGGACAGCATCACACAGGGAAGTAACAGTTTAGCAGCAGCTGTTGGGTTTTGGATTTACCCATGGACAACAAAGATACAGACATATGTATCAATAGTACATGAAGAAGCCCTGACCCTTCAGGATGCGAAATATTCTAATTTCTCACTGGGTAAATAAAACATGTCTCAATTGCACATGTGCTGAGTTTCAATGCCCTTTATAGTGGTTAGGATGCAAAGTGCATATTTGTCATAACATAGTAAGCTAGGATACACTACAGTGTGACTATAGCTCGTAACTTCCCAAGTGACTCCTTCAGAACTGTCCTTTCACACCGAATGACACAAAAGAAATGCACATATTTACAGAACAAAAAGAAACACGGTTTACAAAAAAACACGGAAACAGAAAGCGATATAGAGGAGCGATGCCTTCACGCTGTGAGCGCAGTGCGAGAGCAAACAAGCTGCTGTTTTATTCACACAGCATCAGCTGGCACTGAATGAAATAAAGGTCAATTTCTGTGTTGCTGTGAATCCTTTAATGTGAGATTATTGCATAGTTTTAAATTCTTAACATAGCTATTAAATTGACACTGACATCTCTTTTTTTTCTGGTCTGTGCTTCACTCTTATCAATCCAGGAAAATATATAAATTCCCTTTTTTTTTTCAAACGGGGCTGGGTTCAATTCCCTTCATGAAGCCAAAACTATATTTCATAATTTTGTTATAAAACTATTTTCAAGACGACCGATTTGCAAGGTTTGAATATTCAAGAACGGGTGTTTTCTGGATCAAATTGCTTAATAGTGAACCGAACCCAGCCCTGGTTCCAAGCTACTCTTTATATTGCATTTTCCATGTGCACAAACATTTGCAATTTACTGTCAGTAGAGAAACTAGCTTAAGCCATTGATTATCACAACCATCTATCGACCAGGCATCGATGAAACAAACACCAGCATGAAGTGACCGTGGCTCCGCGCTGATCGACTGATTACACTGAGTGATTGTTTCGACCTCCTGAAGGCCATGAAACATGCACTCTTACCTGCAAAACTGTTTAGATTTCAAATGTTGATTTTGCTTACTAGATGAAGTCTTCTGGGACTTTTTGTTACTTTGATGTAACAGTTACAAGGTCCCTTAATACACACAAATTAACATGTGCTTCTTACTGAGACAACGCCTGAGTGTCATTTTAACTGAACTCCAACAATGTACCACCAACATGTTGCAGAGCGAGTGTGTGAACTAAGTCAGTAGCAGCGGCCTGTAAATATCTTCACACACGTTGGTTACTTTCTCACTGTCTGCAGCTTGAGTAAAACATGCCTGAGCTGAAAGTAATCCTACTGTGTTATCTAAGTTTTCGGTGATAAAATAACAACCAAGAATTTTCTTGAATCTTAACTTTGATTGTTGCTTATTTAACCATTAATATGTAATATCACGACAAAAATTCTTGATTAAAAAGCAGGTTTTCAGGGGCTTTAAAAGAGATTTTGCGACCGAGGGCTAAAGCAGACACAGATACCGCAGTATGTACTCCCATGATGCCTTTCTCTTGCATTTTTCCCGTCTCTTTCTCTACTGTGTTGTATCAGAACTGAGACATTGACAAAATAACATGCAAAATAAATAATAACAGGAAAAAAATGCAAGAGATGACGATAATCAATGACACTTGTTACGCATTAGATTCAACTATGCAGCCACCTTGAGGGAAATTAACTTCAGCCCGTGCGAAGATAAGCACTGCAAACTAGTGCAGTCAACAATCAAAAAACCTGATGCTGGTGTTTGTTTTACTTTGATTGAGTCATCGACAATGTGCACAAACCCCCATCACTGAACAAGCACATCTAGCAGCTGCAACGACGTCCTTTTTTCTTTTTTTTTCAACCAGAAACTGTGTCAGAATGAAGCTATCGGTTTGTTGTGGTCCCTTGTAACACGCATAACGTAGATCACCTGACTTGAATGACCAACCTTGTTCCCCTATGGCCAGCACAGAGTCATGACATGGGTCCCATTCAGTCACCAGAGTGTCAGCTCACTTCTTTTCTTTTTTTTTTTTTTGGCATAGAGCGCATGTTCAAATAGGAGCCATGACTGAACTGCTTTTTAAATCTGTAAACCAATTAAGAACTATAATAACACAATTAAATAATATAGTAGGAAAATAAATATCGTTCCAACAAGGCTTTTTGTTTTAAATAGTTATTCTCAATCTTGACACTGGAAGCCAGTGTGTATGTCACGTTATTCACCTCAGAGAACGATGATCGTCAGTCCAAGAAGAGGGCTGCTCTCAGTCTCATCGGTGAACGTGCTAATCAGCTACTGCACATACACGACCGCCTCAAGCTCAGTTAAGAACATGGATACAGATTCCACTAAACATGGTCCCACATATTATGTAGAGCTCAACAGTCATATGCACTACAAGTGTCTGTATACAAGATATGCATAATGGACTTTTTTCTGATATTTAGACTTGGCCACGACCGGGACAATCCTTATGTGCAGGATGATGAATTGAAACACATGACAGTGGCTACATCTGCCATCAGAGAAAAACAACAACTATAAGTGCTATTAGCTATACACTATTTTGGTATTTCATGAATAGCAGTTAGGGCAGTTTGAAGTTTTTTTTGGTCAGTTTAAGGTAACTCAAAGGTTATCGTGGAACCTCTACAGACCTCACTCCGTATGAGCACTCTCTTTTAGAGGGCAAGCTATGGCTGTCTCAGATACCTTAGTATACAGTACATTTAACTGTTACGTTAGTCAGAAAATAGATATGAAACTCATTTCCACATCTCATGCTCACAATTTGACTGGTCTCATCACTGAAATATTAAATACATCTACCAATAATATCCCATTCCTATCAGTGAACTAATAATAATCCAACTACTGATTTCTATTAATGATTAAATGCCGGGGATATTAGATTGCGTTATCTTTTAAAGTACGGACTTTTGCTCTAGAGGCGTGAACCACTATGGCTGTTTTTTTCTTCTCTTTTTTTTTTGCTTGGCATCAAAAGACTTCTTAAGGATTCATCTCTGTTGGTGGAGGTGAAGAGGAGTGAACAGGACCATGTCGCACAGATGCAACAGCCACATGTTCAACACTAACTGTGAGCGGACTCGATGGAAGGGGGGGGTTCTCTCAAGCCTAAAGTGTAGGATATACAATATAACAACAACCAAACTCTGATATCAACTCTATGTGCGTTCCGGCATTCCCTAGAGGTGCGTATTTCTGTAACTTCCAGTCTAGCGGAGGAATGGATTTCATCACCCCCAGGGAATAGAGGAGCTTTCATGATGTTTTGAGGAATGTGTGGAGTTTCTGAATCTGAGTGGAAGTTAGGAGCTGTCGCTGGCAGAGCGCTTTTTGCCAAAATTACTGGCGGAGTCTCTGTTTCGCAGATTAGGCTGGATCTTGTACATATGGGGACCCATGGACCAGCGCCAGCTCCCACGGCCCTCCACTCCAGTTGGGATGGCGGCAGCTGCAGCAGCCACAGCAGTGGATGGGCAGGGCTTGTTTTGCAGCAGCTGAATAAGCATGGTCATCTCTGGGCCCAGCCGCGACACCATGCTGGTCCTAACGCGGTCCACTGTGTCCTCATCACAGTCCATCAGGCTCTGGAGCAGCTTACCATAAAACCTAGGACAACAAAACAAAGCATCACAGAGCGTCTGTTTAAGAGCTCCAAGCCAAAATGGACAAAATGTACAGCATGGCAACAAAACATTCCTGTGGTACCTGCCAATTGTTCATATCTGTTCAAAAGTATTTCTATGTATTTGCACTCGTGCTCTATAGTCTATATCTATAGTCATTCATATGGGTCACTACTAAGCCTCGAGCTTCACCCTCCTGTAGAGCCCTTTTGTATCCACTCCCAAACTGCAATCCTACATGTATTACAGCGACAATAGGAACAAACATATCAAGACTTGATATTCCTGTTTCATTTTCTTTCATCGTAGAGAGAATGTATGAATCAGATGCCAAACAAAAACATTGAAATCAATACAAATTTAGCCATCTGTTATGCTGCATAACTCAGGGTCTAATGTGGAATTAACAACATGCCAGCCATGTATATCTGTGGTTGTTAGGAAGATTCAACAGTATGTCACATTCATTTAAAACTAGCAGCTACATTTAGTGATTACTGGTACATGAGGCCTTGTTTTTGTATCTACTCTGTGGTCAAAGAGCCTGTTGAACATCATAAGCGTCAAACTCTGACACACCCTTAACACGCCCAAAACAATGTGTCCTGTGTCACCAGATCGCAACTTTAATCAACTTGTTGTTTAGTAGAAGAAGAGCTCACCTATTGGGGAAGTGACTTGGTAGCTGTGCCACTTCGCCAATAGCATCTGGATTTGATCGGGCTACAGTGCAGATATCCAGCTTGCTGTAACACTCCTCTTGGACTTCAGATATCATTCTTTGGAAGGTGGAGCAGCGGCGGATGGTGGGGAATGCCTTCGAGGTGATGCCATTAGCAATGCACTTAAGGCTCTCCTTCACAAATGCTTTACCCTGTAAAAACACAGCAGTGCTTCACACATTCTTGCCCTGACAGTTACACCCATATAATCCTACACAAGCCCATATGCATGGTGGAAATAGAAAGGATGGCATACTGTTTGCAGTCTTTGTGAAATGAATTAAAGTGCATACCTGAGTGTCAAATTTAGCAGCACTGTAAAGGAAGGACTTGCAGATGTCATGCATGCCATCTGTGTCACAAGTTGAGTTTTCCAGGCAGGCGAAGGCCCCGCAGCCAACTTGGAGGGCACTGTTGAGACAGCGTGCCACATCTGCTGTGGGCACAGAGAATGAACCATCAGCCAACAGTGGGTTCACTGGGAATCACTGCACAGTCACTGAGCTCATTACTCAAGGGTTGCCAGGGTTTCAGCAAAAAAATGTGGCCAACAAAAGCACATTTTCATACTTTGGTGATTCACAAAAGACATACAGTCACTTGGGGCAAACAGTGACTTGACTGGAGATTGGACACCGTACAACTCAGACACTATTTGGCACGACTGCCCTTTTCTCTTGGCAGGGACCTATATTCCATGCTTTGGTTCTTTTCAGCAGGGCTTGGATGAACAGCACCAGAAATACCAAAGAGTTTACTGAAAATTGTTGGCGTGCCTGACACACACAAACACTTGTACCACTGGCACACACAGAGATGGATACATACAAACTCATGCTGTCATCAAACTCTGTCTTCAATTGCAGTAATTGGCAAGCTGAATTTGAAGACTCTTACTCCAAACCCCTGTAATGTTCTTAACTATTAACTTAGCACATGTAACAATCCAGTTACATCCCAGAAATGCTCCTATGAACGTCTACATAATGAAATACATGTTCAGAAAATGCTGCTATCTTCATTTCAGGAGGGTCACATGACTGGATTAGTTATTAGGCTGATTAACCCACAAGTAACCCTGATCCCCATCTTTGTAAAACCTATGAAACTACCCACCATCAGCTACCCTGCAACATCATTCAGTCCATTTTCCAAAAACTGACCTTGGCCATAAGGAACACAGCTCCAAGTCCATGCAACCGACTTGACATTTTAAACCAAGAATGAGCTATAAAACATAATCTGTAAATCAGTGTATCCAGATAGTTGGCTCTCCTTTTTCTTCATCCGAGAATCCACTGAGATGGCCAGCAGCCTGACTCAAATCCTTTGTAATAACCATTAAGAAATGTGATCGCAGAGCCTAAGCCTACTTGGCAGACTTTGAATCTGAGGCCCCATGTTGACCTGGTCAGATAAAGTCTGCCTGCCATCGGGGACCAGAGATCGCTCTTAAAATAAAGAGAGTGAGCTGCAAATCTTACGATGATAAAGCAGTTCCCGCAGAAGGGAATCAGCATCCCTGTCAGCCAATTATCACTGGGCTGTAGCTTTGTGTTAAAAAGGAAAAGTCAACATATGAATGAAGCTACGCAGATTCACCCTTTGCAGTGTCATTTCTTGATGGTTATTGCAGGGGATTATGAATCAGGCTTTTTTTTTGGGGGGGGGGGGTGAATAAGACATGTGAACTAATAGGGATGCATTAATTTATCCAAAAGACACAGCCCCAGTGACAAGCAGTGTAACAAATAGCCTGAAGCCTTCTGTTTTATGCACTGAAAGCACCCTCAAGTCCACTATAATGCTGAATAGTGGGACGTATGCAGCAGCCAAAGCCACGAGAAAGAGACTACCAGCATGACACAGCCTGCGCTCTCAGGTGTCAGCACCAAGCTCCATGCTCATCTGTTGCCGGCAGGACACCGGCAAAAAGCACAGCGTTAATCCCGCAGCCTTTATCATGACTCAACGCGCTCGTTTAGACAGAAAAGGCTGTATAGGCCAAACAAATATGAGGGAAAAAAGATCTCCACATAGTAAACGAGCAAAGGTAAGCCTGTGCATTGTGGAAATGGTGTGTAAAAAAAATTTAAAAAAAAAGCAAGCAAGCAGTGCACTCTGAGATATGCAGATGGAGGCAGCGTGTTACTTACAAGGGCTATTGGCAGAAAAGCGCGTTCTCCTGGGCGAATAAGACTCGTTTTGATCCAGTTCATATGCAGATGCGTTCAGCACCATCAGGAGAAAAAGTCCCGTCCTCAAAGGCATCGTCCTCTCAACACAGATAATACAACTAAATGTAAAGAGACGCCTCCTGCTTTGTGTGTAATTCATAAGAATAACGTGCTCCAAAAAGCTTCTGCAGCGCCGAAAACACAATCAATGTAGGTTATTACAAGTAAGCTGCCGGCAACGTCTTTACACTGGACTCCTCACTATCCCTTTGACTTGCATGACAGATAGCACCGATGTCAAGTCTGCATGGGTTTATATGGGAGCGCTGAACATTACGAGTTCTGCGTTTGGACCAATCAGAACGCTGTATTCAAGACCGTGGTCCTGGTCCCTCCACTACTAATTGATAAGATCATTTAACAGCGGCCAACACAGCTCAACATGGAGAATTTGGCCATTATTTCTTATAATAACCCCAAATACAACATGTAAATATTTTTATTTTTATTTCAGAAGTTTACCCTATACATTAATAAATCACCTTGACATGCTACAAGTGGCTTTTTTATACCCAGTACAACAGAATATCTTTCCAAAGTAAGAGAGACTTCCTGCGTCATTACCGAATTCGTAAAAATTAAAAGTATTGTATGAAGTTAGTCTTTAATATAATTTAATATAAGGTTATATATAAAGTTGTTAACCCAAATTACTGGTGACATTTGGAATGACAGTTGCAGTTAGGTGTGACAGGTTTGAATATGAATTAGATAATCAGATAATTATTGTAACGCTCATTCTTCAATCTGAGCACACATGTTATTGTATGTTCTAAACTTGGAGCTTAATTTATACATATTACCTGTAAATGTCATACATTTGCCAATTGCTAATTTCACTTTTTCTAATGTGCATATTGGTATCTGTTGGAAAAAAAAAATCATTATTCCATAAAGCATATTATTAAAGTGAAGTACGTCACTTTCATTTTTTTTTTTAGTTTTCACCTATTTAGTTATTGGTTATTATGAGATATTGTTGGGAGGGCGATGCATTTTGTTCTTGGCTGAGGGCAGAGTCCAAAGAAAATATAAATAGCACGTCTCCCCACCACAAATCATTTGTCTACAGCCCCTAATGTCAAAAAATGCAAAGCCCACCTCCACACTGACAGACCAAAGTGTATCTAACCAACCTGTGTTTTAGTCAAATGTGGCTCGTATACTTTGGCAGACTTAAATGCCTTTGTCCAAATATCAACCCAGAATATTCAAATGACTTGTCTTTTTTTTATCACTCTGGCATTTACCTGAACCGTGCTGAATGATGACACCGTTGTTGCTTTAACTTAAGGGAATCTACATAAAATGGAGATAAACTACCTGTGTTGTTGACCTAATTCTCCACTCTCCTCTTCCCAAGACTGTGAAATGTTGGCTCAGAGACCGCTAACTTGCAGCTGCACGTGCCGGCATACAGAGGATGATGTGTGGGACTCTAAGCTATCATTAATCATGGAGGCCTCACGCCTCTTCACCCAGTGCAACGCTCGACTAAAACAGACAGATTCAGACACTATAGGAAACTGATTTGTCCTGATCATAAGAATGTGGAGTAAAAAGAAGCGCTGAACAGACAAACTTCATGCGTGTCCTCTCGCCATCAGATATACAGTTCCTTACAGGCGTCAATGCGTGCCAAGAATAAATCCCCCCATTAGTAGAAGATTTGTGGCATGTTATGTCTTCTGTGTTCTGGTTGTCTTTGGCAATCTTTGTGCTATAACCCTAGTTTTTGCCAGAGAGTTGTCAGTTGGGCATGATGTCAAGCTGTTGGCACCTTATCTCTTCTGGGGAATCCAAATATGGGCCCTTGCCAGCTGCAACAATATTCTTTTTAATGGAAAGATAATGTGAACGTAACTGCTTAATGAATGGGCTATTATCTACTGTCACAATCAATCATCATCAACATCCAAGTCCCCGTAGTGCATAAGCTACACATTAGACATGTGGTCTGTCAATTTCTTACATTTAGCATCTCTTTCTGTTACAGTAAAGAACTTTCCAGAGTGATGACTGGTTCTCCTCCCTGCAGATTATGTGTGGAGAACAGTATGTCAAACACCAGCCTGCTTACTTATTGGGTATGTCAGCACTCCTAAAAAAAATAAAATAAAAAACTGAAGAAAACTATGTAAGATTTGAGTCAGATGTTGGGCTGATATTTATGTTCGCCATGAATATGTTTGCTGCTCTGGCATCTATTGCTTCCCTATGCTTTTTCGCTCAAGCTCGGTGGGGAGTGGGGGGGGGGGGGGGGGGTTTCGGTGCGCCTCCGCTGAAACTGAAGACAGGAGTCAAGAGTTTATTCATGAGTTTGCAAGTCGGTCTCGTCCTTGTTAACACATCACTGCAGACTCTTCCTTTTTGGATCGTAGCCATACCACAGACACATTTGAGAAGACCACTTTCGTGTCCTCTGGGGAAAGGATAATGAATTCCTTTGTCAAGTAGAAGAAGGTGATTCACCTTATTTTCAGAAATATAACAGACAACACTGGCATGGACATAGTTCGCTGAAAGGACAAAGGCAGCGTGAGAGTTTTGCATTCATTTACATTGAGGTGGATGAACGGATTCTCTGATTAGAGATCACTTTGCATCAAAGTTGAATTTTACCCTAAGCTTACTGCTGTTTGCCTGACAGTTACTTCCTCTATAACTATATGATCAGGAGATTGCTCATTATCAGCGAGAGATTTGAAATTAATGTAATAAATGGGAAGGTGATCTTTTATCAAGCACAAGCAAATTAATATGGCTAAAGTCTCCACTAAAGCTTTTTAACTATGTTTATGTAATGGGTGATATAAAAGCACTCTCAAGATGTCCCCTGAAGGACAGTGTTAGTCTACCTGTGTCCACAAGAGGGACTTTTGTCAGATGTTACTGACTTGCATGAGCTATTCCCGTAAAGCAACACCTTGGAACACGTTGTTTATAGTGTACTGAAGGGGTGGAGGGCAAACATTACGATTTGGCATTTTTGAGAAGTGGAAAAGATCCACGACACTCGGTTGGATTATAATTACAGTTGCCCACATGTGAAACCAGTCGAGGGCGAGGTGTTTGCACCTACCTTTAGATGTTTCAGTGTGTGTTTTATGTTTGGTCAGGGGGATAATGAGTTTTGCTTCCAGGCGGCAGATGCTTGTCGTGTTCACATGTGAAAAGCACTTCATTTTTTGGAAAATATTTTGAAAAAGAGGTTGCAGCGCTGCACAGTAATGACAGAAAGAACCAGGATCTGTCCAACACCCAGTAGTGCTGTCAGGAAATGGAGAGACCCCCAATGGTAAAAGAGAGACGTCACTTTTAAAAGGTTTGGAATAAATACACATCCGTCTAAAAAGCTCCCAGGAGGCAGATCAATTGTTAGAAAGCTTTTTAAAACTGCTTCCATAAATCAAATGGTCCTGTCTAATGTTATTGAAACCACAGTTCTAATCTGTATTGTTAGAGGAAAGTCTATCAACAACCAGAAGTGGAGCAACCAAACTGAGATTTGGTTTCTGTGGGCACACTGAACAGCTAAACCCTACAATTAGCAGATGCCGCTCTCATTATGTTGTGGCCTTGTGGAATTCACAATTCTTCAAAAAAAGCATGATGTAAACTGACAAAATACTCGGTAGTATCTGAATGGATGTTTTTTTTCTAAAACAGAACATAACGCAAAAACTCAGGGGATCTGCACTCCTGAATGTGTATCCAACATGAGTAGCATAGCAAGGATATACGTACATCTGGAGCCTGGAATGAAAGCACACTGCTGCCCTGCTTCTTGAAACATTCGGACCAAACATTACACGAGAAAAAGTGAATTGCTACAAATGTTTTCACGTTCTCCAGGCAGTGATGTGACTACAGATGACTTACTTAAGTCGCTGCTCTGCAAAGAGAATACAAATCAAGAACAATCATGTTTGGGCAACATGGATGAAGGACTGTGGAGGAGCACTTTAAGATTTCCTTCTATGTGTAAAGTACAAACAATGTGTGTAAACAACCTCACACCAATTACTGTCTTCATTACTGCTGAGGTTTGATATGTCACAGACTGTGAGGACAACCTCAGTTCAAGTTAGACTTGAAGTGTTTACAGTGCTCTCAGATCTTACATAATAAATACAAAAATATTCATGTTATAACATATTAAGCATAAACATCAGTAGTTGTGTTAAAGTTTAACAATGAAGCATTGACTTTATTAACATTCTGTCAGGACTCCTTGGCATCAGTTAGATTTAGGAAAACACATTGTGGTTTGGGTTCAAATTACTACATTTCTAGTTACTAATGTAGCTCAAGCGCAAGTTCAGTCAGGAAGACATTCACTTGTGATCTCTGTCTCTCCTCTCCTTGTAATTACTCTATCAGCTGATTGGAGGCGTGCACTGTTAAGCAACCAACCAAATTCGGCACACAGTTTCCTTAAGCCAATCAGATCGTTGCTGTCGAACTTTAAAGTGTTCTCCTCTCTGCTGCTGTCAGTTGTCATTTCAGCGTTAAGCAGATGCGACCCTCCTCCACCCCAGTCGCCTCCAGTCAGCATCACAGTCAGGCTCCTGATTCACCACCACCACCAGTGTCTGGACTCCAGGGGGGATTAGGCCTATTGGACCTCAGTATCCCTACCCTCGGTGATAGTACTTCAGGATGGAGTCCAACCGCCAAAGACTTTGCACTTTTCATATTTGATGCTTGTATAATAAATCATTGTTATATTATAAAACAAGTCGCTCCTGATTGAACTACTACTAGTTCAAATGTGACTAAAATTGAAAAATGAAACTAAAACACATATGGGACAGAAATAGCTGTTTGTAAATTGAAAGTTAAACTGTGAACACAACAAACAACACTTGGCCTGCAGGACACAAACAGCTGTTTGTAACACCTTGTTCGTTTCCAGCAACGAACATAGCATGTGACGTAGTATTAAACAGTGAGAAAGACTCCTGCATATGTTGGGCAGAAGGGTCAAACAAACACAGGACTTATGACCACAAAACTGGTGTTCGTGTCCCAAAGTGTTGCTTGAGTGACGCGTTTGACGAAGTGGTTTTGTTGCCTAAATGTAACTCTCGTCTGAAAGTCGTGCACAGCGACGCGATGAAAAGTTGTGCTGAGTGACAGAAAAAAAAAACAATAAATTTCGAGTCCATGTACCAAATCTATAGATTGAATTTTGTGATTATTT